TCATACTCACTTTGTCTTTCTCTGTGTCTCCCTTCTCATTCACTCAAACACGACTCACATACACACGGAAGCACTCGACTTACTACACTCTGAGGCACACCCCAAGCAACACATTCTCACTAACCTCTCCGTCCTCAGGTCAAGAGTGCGAATTAAATCAGGACTAAGCTTCCTTCTGACCAAGTCTAGGGTGGGGAAGGGAATGTGAAGGGGGGGTCTCTTAAGAATCTCAGGGCTAGAGAGATGGCTCTGAGGTTAAGAGCACTGGCTGCTCTTCCCAGGGTCCTGAGTTCAATCCACAGCAACCACATGCTGGCTCATAACCATCTATAATGAGATCTGGTGCCTTCTTCTGGACTGCAGGCTGAACACTGTATACATAATAAATAAATAAATCTTTTAAAAATAAATAAATCACATCTCAGTATCTTCGAACTACTGAGATATATATGCATACTGGTTGAAGATTGGTGATTCTAAAAACATGAGTAAATTCAGTATGGTTGTTAGAACTCTGGTGGGTTAACTCCATAGTTCATTCAGAAACCTGGAAACCTGAATTTAGGATTTGAAAAAAAAATAACTAGACAGTTGATAATTAGTTGATAATATATGCCATTTTTTAAGCAACCTTAGAGAGTTGCTTAAATGAAAAACATGCTAAAATGAAAAAAAAAAATCCAAATTATCTGAATGAAACATACTTAACTGAGAATATAAAATTAACAAAGCTCTGACTTGGAATCTGAGAGAAGTTGAAAAAGGAAATTTTAGAAAACCACATTTTTCAGAAAAATTCTAATTATAATAAATGCTATTCCTCAAGCTAAGGAAAGGGTATATAGATGATTTATGAATCTAGACATGAGAAAACACCTGTCTAAAAAAACCTACACAGATCCCAAATCAGTGATAAAAATAAGGGGGAACTATATCCAGAGATTTTTTAAAGCAAGCCCCTTTACTATTTACATGGTGTTTTTACATAAGCTCCAAACAATCTCTATAAAGTCGACTCAAGCTTTCAAGGCACACAACTGGAATCCCAGCACTTAAGAGATGCAGACAAGAGGGCCTTAAGTTCAAAGCCAACTTTAGTCACATAGGAGATTCAATACTATCCTGAACTCTATGAGACTGGGGTTTTGTTGTTGTTTGGGGTTTTTTGTTTGGTTTGGTTTGGTTTGGTTTGGTTTGGTTTTTGGTTTGTTTGTTTTGAGACAGGTCCTTTCTACATAGGCCTGGCTGTCCTGGGACTCACTCTGTAGACCAGGCTGGCCTTGAATTCACAGAACTCTAACTGCCTCTGCCTCCCAAGTACTGGGATTAAAGGCGTGCTGAAAAGATGCTCAGCAGTTAAGAGCACTGGCTGCTCTTGCAGAGAATCCAGGTTTGATTTCCAACAGGCTTACAAGCACCTGTAACTCCAGTCCCAACAGAACCAGCACCCTCTGTGGCCTGTGTGAGCATCAGATACCCACATACTACACGTACTTACATGCAGGGAAAATAATCACACACACAGAATAAAATAAACCTTATAAAAAAAATATACAAAAAAAGTTCAGTGAATTAATTCAACCACTGAGTGTAATATCAAAGTTCCCCATCTGCCAAATATGTGCAAAATATGTGTTGTATATGTGTTTACTCCCTTCTATTGTATACAAAATACACACAGTTACAGAAAAACTACCCCAAACAGTTATAACTGTCAATTTTTTCCAGATATATTAGAGGTTGACTACTTACTTCCTTTCTGGCTTACTTGTAACTTCTACACAACTACACTATTAATAGGTGCTGTAGTAGACATGTCCCTATAGTTAATGACGCACAGCAGTCATTCCACCTCAGATTTTAGTTTGGGACATTGCCCAGACAGAGGAATGATACAAATCTTATGAATATCAAGTTACTGGTTCATGCCAAAACATGGCACTCCCAAAGGATGCTCTGTCTACACTCTGTGAAGGAGCCATGTACAAACCCTCTATTTATTCAAGTCTTCCAAAGAAGCTAGAAATGTTTGTATGCGGATAGGACAAGGGACAGGGCTAAGAGCAGATCTGCTGACTCCCTAAAGTTCATCTCTGAGATTCCAAGATTCTATAAAGAGCAGCAAATTAGGGTCTGGCTAGTATTTGCTGACTATGGAAGCCAGAATAAACATTTGCTTGAAGCATTTAAGTCTGTAAGAGTCTCCAATGGTAAGGTACAGCAACTCCAAAGGGGGGGGGGGGGGCAAGCAAGTCCACTGGAAATGTTTCTAAATTAGGGTGGGGTGGAGGAGATAGGCATGTTTCCTCTATTCTCCAACAAACAATACAGACTTCAGAAAGGCAACATGCCAGTTGCTGGTATTGATCTCTAGAAACTTCTGCCGCTGTTATTTAAAAACACCCAGCAATTCGCATTTTAAAAAATGTCTACCCACAGCTACTTTGGTTCAAATAAAGAAAAAGCCCATGCTTTACTGTGGAAACAAAAAAACCATAATCAAACCTCCCACTTTATAAAATATGAAGCCCCACATTCCTAAATAAAATGGCAGAGACATAGCTTTGGCAGGTCACAGCCACAGCACTGTGGAGTGGTGGTTCAGAGCAGAACTAAATGCTAGGCATAACTGCACAGAATTGCTAGTTACAGGAAAATATAGCAATAAATATTCTGGTTGAGGACTGCTCTCTCATCTTCCTAGGTATTTTTAGTTGAAAGCATGTGGTTGGGGGAACCCACATGGATGTGGTTCTGATTTTTTTTAAATATCTATTTTTTACATCCTGGTCACTGGTTAGGTTTTCTAAACTCAATTCTTTAGCTCTGGTCATTTGGAAAGGGTGAGCCACAAGAACATTACATTAAAGAGCAGGAGACACCAGGCCCACCCGCTTAGGTCAGCAGAGCCAAGTCAAAAGGCTTCGTTCTCACAAACCTAAAAGATGGGTCTCTCTGGTCCAGACTCACATGTAACGTGACCTGTACATAAACAAGATGTCCTAAACCCATGTCTTAAAGTATAGCAACACCTCTAAGTTTCCTTATTTGTCTCTCTGCAGTTTTTTTTTTTTTTTTTTTGGAGTGGGTGGTGGGCCTCCAGACTCCTTCCCTAAAGCTCCAAATGGGCTTCGCTCTCAGAATCAACTATTGTGAAACATTCCACAACAGTTGTCACTGAAAATCTATTAAGGTGAATAATGTTAAATAATGACACTGCTTTTGGTTCTTTTAAACAATCCCTATCTAACTCAGACTTCAAGAGCTTTGAGGGTTGGTAGCTCAATCCACCACACTTTTTTTTTTTCCTTGCACACAGTGCCCTACTTCTACTAGAGGTAAAGGACTGAAGAACTGTTAGGACTACGTCTTTCTTAAAGGGGGATGTTTTAAAAGGAGAGAAACTGTCCTCTTCTGTTAATGAGCAGTCTCTTGTTCTCAGCAGGCCGTGTGCACATAAGACCACTACTTCAGTGGGAATTCTGCCCAAGAAGTGAGGAAGACAGAATAGGATTAAATTGGGCAAAAATCCACACCATTATTCTCAGCCATTGCTACTCTTCCACTTCTCCAATAGGCTACAAAGAGTAGATAGATATCTGAGGTTTGATTGTGGCTCTCAAACCAAACTGTAGAAATGACCACCCTAGCCCGAGAAAGTCGCTCTAAAAGTTATGCCAAACTAGCCGCTTCATCAAGGATTGCTGGCACTTCCTGAGATCCAGGGTTACATTGCAATGCAGCCCCACTGGTGGCTGAAAGAGCAAACCAGTGATTTCTCATAGCAGGAGCCTGCAAACAAACTGAATAGTGCAGGAAAACCTGTACAAATATTGAGAATCCAAAACTCCACCTCCCACAGCCAAGAAACGATCAAGTTTCCCTCGAATCCACAGGGATGTCTGACAGGGTAAGCTAAAATCCTGTCAATGCTGTGTTATTAGGCAATAAAGAATACAGAGAGAATGCACTCTCAACGGATTAAAAAAAAAAAAAAAACTAAGAAAGGACTAAAGAAAAATAAAACTGTGACTGTAGTTTTTGTTGTTGCTTAGATAATCACAGTAATAAGAACATAACGCCCTGCACACCCAACATTTCACATGCAAGAAAGTTCAAGAAACAGAGAAAACCTTGATTCTGAAAGGAGAAAATACATCCATCACTCACCTAGATTCCACCCTCCCTACCACTCACCCAGGGACCTTAAAAAACGGGGACAGCAGCTGTTCAGGTGATGGACATTTACTTTAGGGCTTCCTCACTTTGTACCCAAGCCTCCATACAGAGACCACCCCCCAAAATAACACGGGAGCGCCTCTAACTTCACCCTCCCCCCACCCCCCAAAAAAAGCTTGGCCCCGCCAGAGGCTGGCATCTGGAGACACTTAATGGCTAAGGACCACCGCAGACGTCTAGGTCTGGGATGGGGGTCCCCGGACGCCAACCTCAACGCCACCAGCCCCGTTATTTCCTCCTAGCCCTGCAGCTCACCTAAATCTCTCCCATCCCTGGGCTGCCGGCTCAGGAGAAGAGGAAGCCATCGGCGGTGGGATGGCCTGGTGTCGGAGCTGGAAGGCTCGCCGCAGAAAACGTGCACGCGTGTCCGCATCTCCCGGACCGCGCAGCCGGCGGCGGGGGCGGAGGGTCGCCCGCGTGGCGCTGGCGCGGCGCCCTCCCCGGCTCCCGCAGAGCCCACGCGCGCCACGGGCCAGCGTCCGGCGACCCCGGGGAGGGCGCCGCCGCGGCCGACCCCTCCACCCCCGCCCCGGCACCCAGGATGGAGCCGCCGCGCGCCCAGGCTGCGGCTCGGCGGAGCCCGGGCGCGTGACCCCGGGGACGGCGCCGCGGTCCCCGGCCGGGAGGGCCGAGGCCCCACGGCCGCCCCCTCCCCCGCCCCGCCCGGGATGGCCGTCCCGGGCTTCCTGCCGGGGTCGGCTTCCCGCCTGCAGCCTACGGGGACGCCGCCCGCCACCCTGTGAGCCCGCTCGCCTCCTTACCCCGACGCCGCCCGTCTCGAGCTTGCTCGCCCCCGGGGGACGCGTCCCGCTTCAGCCCCGGCCGCCGGCCCTCCGCGCCCGCCGCCTCCGCCCTCCGCTGGGTTTCAAATTGAAATTCCCTGGCTGGGGCCGTCAGAGAGCTCGCTGCGCAGGCCCCGCCCCCTCCTGGCGGAAGCTCCGCCCCTCATCCCCCGCCCGGCACGCCCCGGGCGCGGAAACCCCCGCGGGCAGACCACGCCCCTCCGCGGGCAGGCCACGCCCACGGCGCCGGCTGGCGTGGGAGGGGGCCCCTTCCCGAGGGGTTCGCGGGGATCCTGGGCCCAGCGCCCCGCCGCGGGGGTCGCGTTGCGCCCTCGGAGCGACCCTGGAGATAATGACGGCCAGTGCGTGTGTGCGAGGCGTTCTTTCTGAGAATCCTGGCCTCAAATGCCCTCTCAACTTCTAAAAGTTCTTTCTTCGGAGTGCTTTCACTGACTCAACCTTCACCGGGTGCCTATTTCGCGGTGGACGGTAGAGCAGGTCCAGGAAACAGAATAAGGAAAGCTGGGTCCCCGCTCAGTCTGCAGTGAAAGAAGTGCTTTCACAGGAAAGACCTGAAAAGAAACCATTTATTCTTCCTGTGCGAGAGGCAGGAGAAATTGGGCAAACCCTGTGGAGCAGAGGAGCTTTGATAGTCAGCCTTAAGAGTTAGGATTTCTCCAGGCAGAGGACTGGGAACCTAGGTTGCAAAGGGATGAAGCAGTGTCATATATATATATATATACATACACATAAAGGGTGAAATCGTGGAAAGTTTTACTCACACACACACTGTCTTCCCCGTGTCTTTTGTGCAATTACAGCTCAATCTCTACTTATTTCATCTTTTCTGAACATTGCATGTCAAACTGTCAAGAATGTCAGCTCTCTGCCTCCAGCATCCGCGCCCCCATGCTCCTCTAGTCATTTGCTTCCTCTCACCTCTAATAAAATCTTTAGTGATTCACCTTTGCCAATGTCACCTTTGCTTTCCTAAACACCATAAAATTAACAGTACCAAACTAACACTCGGCAGTGTGGACAATGCTTTCCAGGAAACAAAACAGACTCGTGTATTTTATCAGTTGGTCCTCACAATAACTATGAAGAAGTTGGCTACATCAGGAAAGAGAGTTGGGGAAATAAACTGCTTGCTAAAATCATGCTTGTAAGTAATAAAATTATTGCAATAATGGCTGGCATTTGTTGGTGCCTGGAACTTGAGTTGGCTTAGTTCACTGCAGTCCGGGACACTGAGTACACAAGGTGAATTTGGTACAGTGTATAAAACACACTGGGGTCCTGGCTGCATACATTTCCGGTAAAGAGGAGCTGGGAACTGATATTCATTTTCTGTTGCTCTGAGGCAATAGCCAAGTAGAAGAGTTCTTTGCTTATGGTGCCGCAGGTTTCTGTCCTCGGTCACTCAGCCCTCTGCTCTGAGTGGGTGGCAAGGCATCCTGGCAGGGAGCACATGGAGCAAAACTTCTCACCTCATGGAATCTGAGAGACCTAGGTCCTAATAGATCCTCTGCTGACATACACCAGGTGACCCGGTGACCCGCCTTCCTCCGGTTAGGCCTGATATGCAAAAGTTTCCACCCTCCCACCCACAATGTCATCCACTGGGGACTAACCCTTTCAACACATGAGCTTCAGGGAAAGATTGAAGACCTGGGCCACAGAGGTGGCTACTATAAAACTGATGAAAAGGGCTTCAAGATTCACTGTTTTCCCAGGCCTTGAAACTAAATATTTGTGACTTTTGATTCCGTATTGAGAATAAGGGCTGTGAGTTGTTTTCATTTGCGTGTGTTGAGACACACACTCACTGTGTGTGACAAAGCTGGCCTAGAGTTTCTGAGGTAAAGTGATCTTCCTACCACATGTAGCTGAGGCTGCAGGTTTGTACCATAGGGCTGAATCTAATCCTGTAAGTTTGGGGGCCCATAAAACCTTGATTCACACAGCTGGGGAGGCGGCTTGATGGTTTAGAGTGCTGCTGTGCAACCCTGAGGGCCTGAATTCAGATCCTGACATCCAGGTAACAAGCTAGGCAGAATGTCCCAGGTGCTTAGGGGCTGGACACTGGGGGATCAGTGAGGCTTCCGGACTACCAGCCCACGCCAAAACACAAAGCTCAGAGAGAAACCCTGCCTCAGAGGGATGAGGCTGAAAACAACAGTTCAACTGACACTCTTATCAGGCTGTCGACGACAGATGAATAATTTTTAAAACACCATTGCAGACTTGTAAAATGAACATACATATAAATAATAAAATATAATGGCATTATAAAAAAGATACTCCTATAATATTCTCTGCTGCACTGCTTGGATCACTTTATATGCTCTTTCCCCACCCCTGCCCCACCCTACACAGGGGGAGAGGTTGAGACAAGGTATTAAGCTCTTGGGTAGCTGTTCTGGATAGTTTTATGTCAACCTGACAAGAGCTAGGATCGTTTTAGAAGAGAGAACCTGATTTGAGAAAAATGCCACCGTCAGAGCAGCCTGTTTGCAAGCCTGAGTGCTCACTGACGTGGGAGGGCGCAGCTCACTGTGGGCAGTGCCACCCCTGGGCCGGTGGTCCTGTGTGCTATAAGAAAACGGGCTACAGCCTGGAAGCGGTGGCACACACCTTTAATCCCAGCACTCTGGAGGAGGAGGCGGGCAGATCTCTGAGTTCGAGGCCAGTCTGGTCTACAGAGTGAGTTCCAGGACAGCACAGAGAAACCCTGTCTCAAAAACCGAAAAGAAAGAAAGGGAGGAAAGGAAGGAGGAAAGAAAGAAGAAAGGAAAAAGAAAAGGAAAAAGGGAAGAGATAATATTGCTACTATCATAGCAATAGAACGCTAACTGGGATGGTAGCCCATGCAGGCTTTTGAGTTTACTATGTAGCAAAGGCTGCCTCCATTTTCCACAAGTTGGCATTAAAGGCATGTGCCACTGTATACTGCACTATGCCACTTTTAAAGAATATTAATGAGATAATCATATCCATAAATGGGTTGCTTTTATGTGGAAGCCAACAACACTTAGCTTGAAGAAATGATTTGATGTCATTTTAAAAAGTTTTTATTGAATATGTAGAGGTGTATATGTGTGAGAAAGAGAAAGAGAGAACCAAGCTGGCCTCAACCAGCAGAAAAAGAACATTATTTCCATCCTTTCTTTCTTGTTTATGAATTTCATCCATGCATCTATCTTTTCATCGAAACCACACCCCATCCCCTTCCTCAAACTCCTCTCTTTCATCTCCCACCACCACTTCTTTTTTCCTGCCAACATGGCCTCTCTCCTTTAAAAAGTTTTTTCATATTTTTAATTTTATGCACAGACTATTTGCCTGTGTGGATGCCTGTGTACCGTGCACGTGTGGTACCCACAGAGGTCAGAAAAAGGTATCGAATCCATTGAGACTGGATTTACAAGTACTTGTAAGCTGCCCAGTAGGTACAAGGAGATGAACCCGGGTCCTCTGGATGAGCAGACAAAAGGTCTAATCACCAGCCATTTAGCTCTCCAGCCTCGTGGGCTCTCTCTCTCTCTCTCTTTTTTTTTTTTTTTATCTCAAAGCTACTAGGTACACCTATTCCTGCCAGTGTATGTGCATGGGCAAAGGGCCGTCTATTAGTCAACAGGGATGAGGCGTCCAGGCCAGGCTGGTACCAGTTGGGATTTCTCCATGTCCTATGCATCAAGAATATGGTGTCCACAGCAGGAGAGTGTTACCATCAGATTCTGAAGGGTAATCGTCCTGGTTTGTCATTATTATCAACCTGGCATAACCTAGGAACCTGTGTCAGAATTTCCTGTCTTTTTTTTTTTTTTTTTTTTATCTTAGCCATTCTGACTGGGTTAGGACAAAATTGCAACGTAGCTTTGTGTTTCCCTTGTGGCTAAGGATGCTGAAGATTTTTGTAAATATTTCTTAGTCATTTTTACTTCTTAAAAGAAAATTCTGTTTAGTTCCATGTCCATTTTTTTAATTGTATTATTTGATGTCTTGGTAGAGTTGATCTTAGCTCTTTGTATGTTCTAGATATTAAATGCATAGCTGACAAAGTTATTTTTTCCCCATTCTCTAGGCTACCTTGACACTCGATTGGCAGTGTGTTTTCCTCTAGAGAGGCCTTTCATTTTAATTTCATGAGGTCCCATCTATTTTGGTCTTAACCCCTACACTCCTAGAGCCCTATTCAGAAACCCCTTTCCTGTTTATATGAATTGATACATCGTCCCCACTTTTCTTCTGTAACAGATTCGGAGCATCAGGTCTTATGCTAAGATCCTTGAACCATTTGGAATTTGTGTAAGGCAAGAGATGAGCATCTAGTTCCATTCTTCTATAGGCAGATATCCAGTTTGTCCAGCACAAACTGTTGAAGGTGCTGTATTTTCTCCAATGTGTATTTTTGGGGTTGTTTGTTTGTTTGTTTTGTTTTGTTTTTTGTTTTTGTTTTTTTTCCTCAAAATTCATGTGGCTGTGGGAAGATTGTCTTTTATCTAGGTCTTCACTTCTATCCTATCAATTTTTAAATGACTTTTTTATGTGTCATGCCTTTATAATCCTGTCCCCATGCTGTTTTTATTCCCATAGCTCTACAGCATGACTTAAAACCAGAAACAGTGATATGTCCAGCAGTTTTTATTGTTCAGGATTGTTTTAGCTATCCTGGGTCCTTTGTGGTCTATGTGAATTTTGAGGTTTGTCTTCAGTTTCTGTGAAGAAGGTATTGGAGTTTCAATGAGGATCGTCCTGGACGTACAGAGTACTTTTCAAAGGATGGTCATTTTTCACATATTAGTCCTTCCAGTCTGGGAGCAAGGGAGCTCGCTCCGTCCTCTGGTGTTTTCTTCACTTTCTCATTGCAGATGTTTTGTGGAAAGTGTGGTGTGCGTGGTGTGTGTGCCCCTCGGGGGGAGGAGGAGGTAAAGGGGACAGTGCTACCTGTGGGAACTTCACGGCTCTGCACCGTCCTCAGGTGGTGGGAACCGGGGTGGAAGCCCAGGCTGTTGGGTGCTACTTGTGAGAAGCAAGCATAACCCTATCTAGAACATAGATCCTCCTACCACCACCCC